GAGCAAGGAATCCGTGAAATCCGTAATCCGATCCAGTCCAGTCCAATCCGATAGGTTTGGATTGGTTTTTTGAATCCGTGGTTCGGTTCCGGATTGAATAATTAAAAATCCGTAGTTCACGGATTGGTTCCGGATTGAATCCCACGGTTCCGGATTGGAACCGATCCGGACCGTATACAAATAGTCTATATTTTTATTATACATCCTCCCCCATAGTATCTTTTCTTATTCTATATAAAATCTAAACTCAAACCTAAAATCGTATAATATCTTCTTTTATTACTTTTGTTTGTTAGTTTTAAGTTTTAATTTGCAATGGTCTAAATACTTATGGTGAAACCAGTTTTCTTATGGTTGTTTAAATTCTAGAACAGTATGTCGTTATTATAGAAAAACATGTTGCTATTATGGAACTAATATAGCGCTATGTTTATATTTTTATGAAATTCAAGTGTTATATATATATTTTTGTTATTTAATTATGTGAATCCATGGTCCTAAACCGATCCAATCCGTATTTAAATGGATTGGTTCGGATTGGTTCCATGATTTAAACGGATTGGATTGGTTCCAATTTTTTAGGAACCGTAAATAACGGATTGGTCCTGGTTTTATCCTAATCCGGTCCAATACGGACCATGCTCACCCCTATCTCCAATTAAAAATGTCACATGTTGTTAATCCAAGGGCCAAACTTGGAAGAAAAAAAAATTGAAATATTTAAGCCCAAGCGAGAAGAAAGAATCTAAACTTTAATTTATTTGTTAGAGCATCTTTACTAGTTTACTCATATTTTACTTTAAAATATTATTAAAAAAATTATTTTTTATTTTAGGAATCATTTTTTCGTCTACTTTATCCAATAAATTCCCTATCATTTCTTTATTTTATTAACGAACTCTCTATTTTTTTTCCTATTCTATTAAAATATAATTTTTAATTATAAATTTTAAAAAAATTATAAATATATATTACAATCTTTAAAATTAAAAAATATATCTATAAAGGAGCTATCGTAATTAAATATTAATTTAGAGTAACTTATAAGAGTGATAGAACTTCAATCCTTAAGATTGTTGAAGGAATGATTTTTGGGGGGGACCATGGAATTAAATTGACAAGGGGTAGTTGACCATGATGTTAGATTTGAAATTATGATGCATTGTTTTGTTCATGCTCTTAGCATCTTTTTTCATGGTAGTGATTGTATTCATCACCAAGCCATTTTGACCAAGTAAAATTAAGAGAAAAGATAGGGATCATGAAAAAATTTTCATGAAACTGGTTATGAAAAATTTATTGGCTTACCTTGATTAGTGTGTGGTGTTTTATTTTAAGTGTAATCCAAAGGTCATAGATCTTTCATGATCATTTTCATGAAAGTTTTTTCATGATACCTAGCATTGCTCTAAAATTAATGTCTGGATTGTCTCCGGTCTAGATGTGATATAGTCCGGTTTAATTTCATCCATTAAATCATTTTTAGGTTTCTTTTCGATAATTAGAATTATTCACACTTTAAGTTTTGTTGAGTATATTATTCCTGTTACAAATCATGTCGATTGGATCACTTTTGTTTGAAAAAAAAAAAGGTCAAAAAATTAACGGTTCATTAAAAAGTGATTCGAATATATAGTATCTGTTATCCGATTAACGTGATTTTTTACAGGGATAATATACTCAACAAACCTTAAAATGTAAGCGGTTTGAATTATCGAAAAATAGTTTAAAAGTGAGTCTAATGGGTTGGACTGGACTCTCCAGTGTGGATCAGAGACAAGCCCCAGCCTAAAATAAAAATAAAAAAAGAAAAAGTTTTTGATCAACAGACTTAGATCTCCTATCTGCGATTTGACCATGATGTTAGATTTGAAATTATGATGCATTGTTTTGTTCATAACCTTAGCATCTTTTTTCATGGCACTGGTTGTACTCATCACCAAGTCATTTTGACCAATTAAAATTAACATTACAAAAAAGAAAAAAAAAAAAAAAAAAGAAAAGATTTTGATCAAGGGACTTAGTTCTCCTATTTGCAATACAAGCTTGATCATTTTTTTTCAATCAAATCACACTTCGCCACTTATAATTTAGTTAAGTTTTAAACAGTGAGGTGATGAAAAAATTATGTTGAACCTTAGATTTAAATAGTTAAGTTTTAAACTTAAATTGAAGTCGAAAGATTTAATTAATGCAAATTACAGCGAACTCATAAAATTTAGAGGATGAAAAGTGTAATTTATCACTTTTTTTTTTTTTTCATTAGATCTTTTGTCATCTTATTCCAAATCCATTTGACATACCATTAATCTCTCCTATATTGTTCAGTAATTCTAAAATATCATGTGACAAATTATTTATGTAGTATTTCAAATCAATCAAGTTATAAGTAAGATATGCTTACTTACTTTGATTCAATAGTGAGGAGACAAAATTTAACTCAATGTGTATCTTTTTGACTAGAAATGTATTAGTTGGCATTGCTGGTTCAACCTTAATTTTTATGTATTTAAGGGAGTAAGGATCTTTATTCCATTCTCCTTTGTGTCTATGAACCAAACTCCCTCCTTACTATACAATCAATAATCAATTTTCTTTGACTTGATAATGGATAATGGAGAGTGTATTTCAAACATTAGAGAATGTGACAGTGTTTGGTATAAATTATGTATATTGTTTATGAGATAAAAATAGTTAATTAAATTGAAAAAATTTATTTATTTGAAAATGAAAAATGGATATTTTTAGGTTGTGTTTGGATTATGAATTTTAGTAAGAATTTAGAAAGGAGTAGGAAAAAATGTAAGTAAAATATGAATGATATATAGCTACCTTTTCACCTACTTTTTTTTTTTTTTTTATAAATCTCTATCCAAATTCATAATTCAAACACGACATTAGTTTGATAAATGACATTATTTGAGTGAGTTAATGGTGGATCTATCTTATCGAATACAGCAAAGATAGGTATCATGAAAAATCTTTCATAAAAATAATCATGAAAGCTTTGTGACCCTTGGATTACACTTAGAATAAAGCACCACACACTAATCAAGGTAATCCAAGAATCATAACTCTTTCATGATTATTTTCATGATCAAATTTTCATGATTCCTAACTTTTCCCTGTCGAATAATGCTATATGCACCAATTAGTGTACTAACTAGTGTACCAATTGATGATATGGTATAATTTAAAAGGTTTTTGGTATTTGTAATGTGATTAATGAGTGTGGTCAATAATAATATCATAACTAGTGTTAGTATATTAATTAATACACTAATTGATACATGTAGTACTACCGATCTTTATCATATGTTATTGGAAGAGAACCTTTAGGAGAAGTAGGGTTCCAGTTGAACCCTGTCCCTTTCTAGCCTCATGGTTCTTGCTCCGTCCTTGGTTCTATCTCCAACAAATAATTGTTAAGTAGACCTTTGATCTTCTTCTCCTATTTATTTAATTTATCATCTAACTTTTATTTAAATTTTAATTTTGATCTCCCATCTCCTAATTTTAGCGACTAAGTCCTTAAATTTCAACATTTATTTCAATGCAATCCTCCTATTACTAATCATTAAAAAATAGACAAAAAGTACTCCCATAATGGCTATGCAGGCAAGATTTCAAGCAATTAAAGGGAAAAAAAAATTAATGAAAAAATTACATATTTTACTCTCTCAACTTTTTCTCAAATTCCACTTTAGCCTTTCATTTTTCAACTTTCACCCAAAATTTAATTGTGAGGTGATGGGAAAAGACTGACTACATTGAAACTTAAGTTGAAACTTAAAGACTTAATTATTGCGATTAAAATGTGAGAAATCAAAATGAAATTTAGGTAAAAATTTAAGGCTGAAAAGTACATTTTACCCATTCAAAATATTGAAGATGTATTATTGCAGGTCTTAACCCTCATTTGGTAGGTGGAACATATAAGTTTTTAGTTTATTAGTTGTTGCCAAGGGAGGCCTTTTCAAATGGGGTTTACTTTGTGACCTATGCATGCTTGTTTTGTTATAGTATTACTTTGTATGCTTTCATTTGACATAGATTCCTCTTATATGCGTAATGATTAGTATAGCTATCACTGGTCATTAGTTTGGTTTTCCTAATTTTATTTTTCACCAAGTAAAAGAAAGATTACATGTCTTCACTACAAGAAATGACACTTTTAGCGACCAAAATATTAGTCGCCAAAAGTCCCATTTTTGGTCGCCGAAACAAATTAGCGACTAATTTTTTTTGTCGCCAAAGTCGTCGCCAATACTTTGTCGGCGATAGTATTGGCGACTAAACTATTTTTGGTCGCTGAAAGTGAACGTTTTGGCTACTAAACTCTGGTTAGTCGGCAAAGGTTATCTTTTGGCGACTAAAATATTAGTCGCCAAAAGTGAACATTTGGCTACGAAACTTTGAGTAGTCGGGAAAGGGGATATTTTGGCGACTAAATATTGAGTCGCCAAAAGTGTTCAAATAAAATTAATTTAATTTTCAGCGACTAAAAATTTTAGTCGTAGATAAGTTTTAGTCACAACATTACTACATTGAGGGACTAAAGAATTTAGTAGCCAAAAAATTATTTTTCATTTTATTTTATTTTTTGCTACTAACCATTGGGTCGCCGAAAGTCTTCATTTATTTTTGGCTACTAAACTATTTAGTCGCCTAAAATCTTATATAGTTTTGGCTACTAAATTTTTAGTCACCAAAAATCTTTGGGTTCTTTCTGGCTACCAAATATTTAGTCGCTAAAAATATTGATTTCCTTTTTGGCTACCAATTGGTTAGTCACTAACAAATTCACTTTTTTTTTTCTTTTTTCACTACTAAACATTTAGTTGCTAAAAACTTTATTTAGTGTTTTTTTTATTATAATTAATTTCTCCACAACCTGTATTTATTTCGTTCAACTTGCACCCTGTATATAAACAAAATAATACATATATCTATTTCTATTTCGTTTCAACAATACAAAAATTTGATCTTTTAACATCAAATTCTATGCAAATCAAATACAATCCAACCCAAAATAATAATTCCATACAAACACAGAATCATACAAAAAAGATGTCCTCTATACACAAAATTCTACATCAAATGTCATTTACAAAATATTTTGAAGGTGTAAACATGATGGAAAAATTAAATTTATTAACTAAAACACTTGCTTAATTTAACAATGAAGCCATTGATCTAAAGGCTTCTCATCCTTCAAGCTTGCTTCATATAGTTTAGTACCTTTCTTTCTAAAGACACCAACTGCAAAATAATAATCAACCTCCCAATCAGCGGAAGCATTTAGCAAATAAGTATAGATAATTAAACAAACCAAAAACTCAAGGGATTCAACCTTGCCTTAATAACCATGGATTGCTATACTGGCTTAGTCATTGCCCCCACTTTTGCATCACTTTCTCAAAATCAAAACAAAGCTGCACAAAAAAAAAAAAAAAAAAAAAAAAAAAAAAAAAAAAAAAAAAAAAAAAAAAAAAAAAAAAAACCAATTCCCTACCATGGACAAGAAAGGATATGTTTTGGTTAAGCATATTATCAAACATGGAATGAGAAATCTACATGCAATAAAAAAAACATAGAAATCAAAATTTAGGAATTTTTTTTATAGAAAAAAAAAGAAGGTAATAGTAAGCATCAATTTGACTAGAACCAACAAATGTTTCTTCCGTTTATTCGAGGGTTCATATAAAACAAATGTGATTTATGAACAAATTCAAAAACTATTTCTTCTGTTTATAGGTTATTCAATCCTCTAAGCACTAATATGATTTATGAGTTGCATTCATCATAGACAAACAAATGTGTCACTTTTATCAACAAAGTTAACAAGAATAATAAGATGTTCTGTAGTAATTATTATTTCCTTTTGTGATCTTGTAGTTTACAAATTCTTGAGTCTTAGAAAAATGACTAATTAAGCTAATGTATATTTCTATAATTAACTGCCTCATTAATAAAGTATATATATATATATGAAATTTTTTGTACCTTCTTTTTTAGGAAGATCAAGTCCGAAGCATTTGGGTTTTTAATTGAAAAAGCTGTGAATAAAAATGCAAAGATGGAAACAGAGTTTGTTGTCTCAAGCAGAGAAGGAGGTACTTGTCAAATCTATTGTGCAGGTAATTCCTACTTATGCTATGGCATGTTTTGCCTTTCCAAAGAAGTTTAATGATCGTTTAAATTCATATACGAGTAATTTTTGGTGGGGTAGAGATCCTTTAGACCGTGGCCCTCACTGGGCAAGCTGGGACAGCTTGGGTTTGGCTAAATCAAAGGGAGGGATGGACTTTAGAGATTTCAAAGCTTTCAATCTAGCCCTTCTTGCAAAGTAGATATGGAGACTTATCACTCGTCCTCACTCATTCTGTGCTCAGATTTTAAGAGGGGTTTATCATCCACATTCAGATTTCCTATCTGCTTCTAGGGGTAGAAGTCCAACTTAGGCCTGGGCAAGTTATCTCAAATACTTATGAGATCAGGAGTTCCGTAACCATAAATCTCTAGTAAGTTCCATAATTTTCCACATTATTGGCAATCATCTTGCCCTTTTATTATTACCGAAATAAGTTTAAAAAATTATGTTACCTCTTCTATGTTCTCAAACTTCCTTTTTGGCTCTAGAGGGTGACCACCATAGCTTTGAGTTGGACGTGGGGTCACATAGATTACCCTTTTAGAACTCATGCAACCCATGGCCTATATAATTCTTGCTGCTCTGGGAAAGTGAACATTTGGGTCCACTGGCCCTCTTCTTGGTGCTCTGATACACCAACCTCCCTCCTAAATTCACACAAATTTACTCAAATGAGAAAATTTAACTATCATTTCCACAATTCCCATAGCAAACTCGTAACTTATTTTACACATTGTAGCTAAATCTTGTATCGAATTTGGCACAAAACTTAGTAATTCTAAAATACGACACAATGTTTATCTAGTCTTTCGAGAGTTCCAATTTGGCCTTGATCTTAATTTTTGACAATAACATTCATTGGAGAAGCAATAATTTTTCCAATGGACATGGACTCAGGACTATTTAACTTTATCAAACAACTTTTAAAATAACAATAATAAAAAATAAATAAATAAGCACTACCAGAGACATTGAAATAGAAACTAAAAAAAATCAATTGGAAGTTTGGAACTCCTTTTAGAAGATAGAATCTTTGGTCGTTCCAAGAAGATTTTTACGATTCGATGGAACTCATAAAAGCAAAATCACTACGAACTTCATTAAGGCCCATTTGGGTGTCTCAAAAAAATGAATTGGGCCATTTTACTTTTAGCTCATTTACAAATTAGACAATTTAATTTATTTAATTCTCTTTAATGTGTGAAATGTGAGAGGCTGAGTATATTTTTGTGGGCAAAAATTCATCATGATGATGGATTGATGATGATAGCAAGCAAAGTCAATAGAACACTTTCGTCGTGGTTAATGTATTACCTGATTGGAAGCATTCCAATGTCCAAGTTAGAAAAACTTAGAGAGAATAAAAAAAAAATAAACAAGAGTTTACAGAAATAATATAATTTTTATTCACTGAACGTCCTCCAAACATTTCTCTTATTATTAGGATTTGACTATTTTTAATAACTTTTTTCTTTCTAACTCTACTCGTTAATTTGCTTAGATTATTTCTAACATATATTCCTACAACCTTAAACTAACAAAGATCACTATTATCCTAACTAAATTGGCATTAAGCGTGACTCTTTTCTTCAATTTCACACTTGATATATGAGAATTGTCTAATAGTGACGTTTCACCTCAATCGACATTTATAATTATCTATAAAGGAACATGATGATTTAACATTTATTTTATTTTCAAAAATTTAAAAGTATCAACTTTTAAATTGAATTATTTTGTACAAAACTAAAAAAAAAAAATTGGGGGGTTTATGGTTTGGGGGTATTTGCAGGGGAGAGCAGGGGGTCCCTCCCTATACTAAGAATGATTTAACAACTTAGGCCTCATTAAGTATGTTGAGGAGGGCCATTATGAAAGTCACGTGCATTTACTAACATCAAATAACATTAATAAGTGGTTTCATTAAGAAGGAAGACTGATTAGACGCACCACCTTCTTGAACAAACTATTGAAGTAATCGGCATGTCTCCACAAGAGCAGAGAAATCAGCAACATGTTGTGGATTAAAGAAGAAAAGCAACTAGTGGAGAAAATTCGAATTAGGCCCAAAGCAGTGCCTGGATGTACAGAGCTCATAAATGAAAATGAAAAAAATGAATTAGGCCCAAACATTCAAAAAAAATGAAATTCAATCTCAAACTGAAATTGCACCTAATAAGAGCTCATGAACAGGTAATTGAAAAAAACAATTAAATTCAATCTGGGCACTACCAAACCTCATAAACAGATGTCAAACACATGAGCATTGTTCGGTTTCATTTGAACATTTTGTCAAACAAATGGTGAGCAAAAGGGTCAGAAGACAACAACAAATACAAGCATGGACGAAACAGGCCAAGTAAGAGCAGTAGGTAGAGAAAAACAAACAAGCAAGAGCAGTAGTTAGAAAAAAAACAAACATACTTAATGAGCCTTCCAAATTGACCAAACCATGGCCTCCACATCTTCTTTTCCAGCTTCCCAAATTTAAACCCAAACCCCCAGTGTGACAAATTTGAAAAAGATTATGGTGTAACCAAGTGAACATTCCACTATTCTAGTAATTCAACCCATATCCTCCATATCCAAGAACAATGAATGAATAGATGCCTCAACCTTAACATGGGTCGATTTGGGGTTGGGGTTGGGTGAAGGTATGCAAACGGAAGAAGAAAACCCTAGAGGCTGAAATTAGAGGAATAGAGACTATAGAGAGGACATACCTGGGGTAATGCTCCAATAGTGGATTGAAGGTGGTGCTCGTGTGCGATGGCGGTGATGCTCCGTTAACGATGGAGACAAAAGCTAGCGAGAGAGAGAAAGACAGAGAGAGCGGGAGGAGAGCAGAGACAGACAGAGATGTATGAGAGAGATAGAGCGTGTGGAAGTGTATTTCTTAAACCTAGTTTATTTTCTTTCCCGACTAACTCTTTTAGTCGCCCATAATAAATAAAGGCTTTTCTCCGACGAAATATTTAGCAGCAAATTAATTTTGCCCCCCAAAATGTGAAGTCCAATTTTTAAAATTTTTAATTATAATTGCCAACTAAAATTTAGTTGTTAAAAGTAAATTAAATACCGACTAAATAATTTTCGTAGCCAAAACTAACTATACAGCGACTAAACTATTTTTTAGTCGCCAATTGTGACATTTTTAGCTACTAAAATATTTTTTAGTAGCCAATTGTAGCATTTTTACAGAATAAATTGTGATTAGTACCCAATTGTTGCATCTTTGGCGACTAAAATATTTTTTAGTAGCCAATTGTTGCATTGTTACCGACTAAATTGTGATTAGTAGCCAATTGTTGCATCTTTGGCGACTAAATTATTTTTTAGTAGCCAATTGTTGCACTTTTACCGACTAAATTTTTTTTAGTTGCCAATAATCAACATTCCCTAACTAAAAAAAATAAGTAGCTAAAAATGATGACTTTTGCCGACTAATATTATTTTTGGTAGCCAATTCCGTAACTTTCAACGACTAAAAGCCATTTGGTAGCCAAAAGTGGTCGCCAAAAATGGCACTTTTCTAGGCTTTTCTCCGACGAAATATTTTTGGGACTTTGTACACACCCAAATAGAGTAAAAAAGTAATTTTATTAGGTACCAATTGAACCTTTCACAAAACTTCAAGGATAATGAAAGGTAGAATAATATCTTTACAAGGAAAGAGCCAAAAAGCCGGTTATATTGTTGTTAATCGCTTATTCTTTTTCATTTTTCAACATAATTAGTGAAAAAAATGATATTGTCACACATTTTACATTTAAATATATATTTTATCCTTAATTATTTTTATATCTACACTCCAGCTGCATTAGTTTTATTTGATCAACATTATTAACATAACATATGCTAATTCTCCCTCTTGCAATTTTTACTTTTACTTTTATTATGTGGGTGTTGGAACTTAGGTTGTCGGTGAAATCTAATTAGGCTTCATCACCTAGCCTAGAAAAGTGCCATAAATAATAATAATAATAATAATAATAATAATAATAATTACAGAGCTGCTACAGGGCCCGAAATTGTCAAGCTTGAATTTGCTCCGAATCCAAAACGACATCGTTTTAGATTTTTTTTTCTCTTTTTCTCTCTCTCTCGCTTTTTTGACAAATTGAAGATGAAAAGAGAAGAGGAAGCAGAAGCAGAGAAGAAGAAGAAGAAGAAGAAGAAGAAAAGAAGAGAAAGAAGAAGAAGTAGAAGCAGAGAAGAAGAAGAAAAAGTCTTCAAATCAAATCAGAAGAAAAAGAAGTCTTCAGATCAGATCAGATCCAAAAAATAAATAAATAAATAAATCAACATCTTCATCAACACATGATCATCATCAACAACAACATCTTCATCAACATTCAGAATAGATTCAAAAAAATTACAAAACAGATTCAAAAAAAAAAAAAAAAAAAGATACAGATCTGATTCAGATCTGAATCTCCGATCACCGCCATCACCGTCGATCTTCCTCCTCCGCCATCACCATCACCATCACCGTGTTCTTCTCTTCCTCCTCCTTCTCCCCATCTTTTCTCCTTCTTCTCTCTTCCTCTTCTTTTCTCCTCTTCTCTCATTTCTCTCTCTCGCCTATGTCTATCTCTGTTCAAACAAGAAAAGGAAGAAAAAGCAAAAAAAAGCAAAAAAAAGGAAGAAAAAGAAAAAGAAAAAGAAAAAAATGAAACCCAAAACGACGTCATTTTGGGTTTCGCGCCAAATACGAGCCATTGATTTCGGGCCCTCAAACAATTTTCTAAAAATTAATGGCCCCAGAGTTCCATGAGTTGGTTTCATATTTAGAAATGAGTCATTTCTATTTCACACATAATCAATACTTACCCTCACCAGCTAGTTCTCCTCTAGTATGCTATCCAAATTTGTATAGTAGCCCTTGAAAGAGCATGCTTAAAAGGAAACCTTAAATTTGTGTATTAGTGACCAAAAAAAAAAAAGAGTAAAAACAAGACTTAATTTTGTGTATTAAGTGTTTATTAATTTAGTGAATGAGCTGCTTTAACTTAACATAACTTGACAGATTATAACTTATAACTGTAAACATTAGTTGTTAACCTGTTTGGTGCAACTGTGAGATTATGGATTTAAGTAGCAGAATTGTGTTTGGTTGATAAGCTGTAAAATAGTTTTTTCTGTATAATTGACCTTTTTACCCTTATATGATATAAAAATGATCATTTTTGTCATTTTTTTCAATTTTAATTTAAAAAAATTATTTCATTAATAAAAGTTAATATAATTAGTATTAAATAGTATCAACTAATATAAAAATTGATATTAATAATTAGTATCAATTGATATTAAAATTAGTCTGAATTAATACTAAAATTATATGGAAGCTGAATTAATGCTAAAATTATTACTAAGATTATTCTAAAATTATTACTAGGATTAGTCTGAATTAATACTAAAATTATTAATTAGTATCAATTGATATTAATAATTAATTTTTAGTAGTATCAAATAATATTAATAATCAACAATTGTTATTAATTAGTATCAATTAATTGCTTAATCAGTATCAATTAATAATAAAATTATTAATTAGTATCAAATAACTTGACAGATTATAACTTATAACTGTAAACATTAGTTGTTAACCTGTTTAGTGCAACTGTGAGATTATGGATTTAAGTAGCAGAATTGTGTTTGGTTGATAAGCTGTAAAATAGTTTTTTCTGTATAATTGACCTTTTTACCCTTATATGATATAAAAATGATCATTTTGTCATTTTTTTCAATTTTAATTTAAAAAAATTATTTCATTAATAAAAGTTAATATAATTAGTATTAAATAGTATCAACTAATATAAAAATTGATATTAATAATTAGTATCAATTGATATTAAAATTAGTCTGAATTAATACTAAAACTATATGAAAGCTGAATTAATACTAAAATTATTCTAAAATTATTACTAGAATTAGTCTGAATTAATAGTAAAATTATTAATTAGTATCAATTGATATTAATAATTAATTTTTAGTAGTATCAAATAATATTAATAATCAACAATTGTTATTAATTAGTATCCATTAATTGCTTAATCAGTATCAATTAATAATAAAATTATTAATTAGTATCAATTAATAGCTTAATTAGTCTGAATTAATACTAAAATTATTAATTAATATCAACTGATATTAATGATTAATTTTTATTAGTATCAAATAATATTAATAATCAACAATTGTTATTAATTAGTATCAATTAATTGCTTAATCAATATCAGTTAATACTAAAATTATTAATTAGTATCAATTAATGGCTTAATTAGTCTGAATTAACACTAAAATTATTAATTAGTATCAATTAATATTAATAATTAATTTTTATTAATATCAAATAATATTAATAATCAACAATTGTTATTAATTAGTATCAATTAATAATTAATTCATTACAAAAATATACAATATTAATTTATTAATTATTAATACCAATTAATATTGGTTTTTTTTCTTTTTCTTCAAAAATATACAATTTTTTATTTTTTAATTAATATTAATATTGATTTTTTCCTTAATTGATTTTTTCCTTATTTTTCAATTTTTTTTCTAGGGTTTCATCGCTGTCGGCAAATAACTGTCGGTGGCTAGGGTTTCAATGCAAATTAGGATCGCGATCGCGACGGCAACGGCGACGACCACAAGCAACACAGATCGAGAGAGAAAGAGAGAGGGACGGCGATGGATTTCAGATCGTAATCACGATCACAAAGAGAGACGCGAGCGATGGAGCAAATCGTGATTAGGTTTCAGATCGTGATCGCGATGGCAGTGGTGACCAGAGGTGACGACGGAGCTCTAGTTCGTTTATGCGATGGCGATTGTTCTCCGATCGTGACGTTTGGGTTTCAGACCGCACGAACTAGAGAGAGAGAGAGGGAGAGAGAGAGAGAGAAGAGATCACGAAGAGAGAGAGAAAGAGAGAAAGAAAGAGAACCAGAACGTCGTCGGAAATCACCTCTTGTCCCCAGAAATCGCCTCTCTGGTTCTTAAGAGAGAAAAATGAGTGTGTTCTGGTTTATATACATGGCACACTTGTAATAACTTGAAATTGTGAGGGGCATTTAAGTTATTTTGACCCTCAAATGGGATCTTCCCGCTTAAGTTGTTTTGGGAAGCACCTCCTCCCCCACTCAACCAAAAAGCTCGATTTTCACTTATAAAAAGCTATAATCTACCCCCATAAGTTATACCAAACACTTCAAAATCACTTATTTTAAGCTATAAGTGGATTTAAGGTGAAAAAAAGCTACGCGAAACAGGCACTAGGGCAATCTGAATGCCAAATGACTAGCAGTTTCGAAATAATTGCTTGTACATATGTATTCCCTGATGCATTCGGTTTTCCTTCTTTACTTTTCATGCTTGGCTCTGGGGCTCCTAAAGATGGTGTAGGTTTTTCCAATTCAATTCGTAAAACCTGCAATAAATTTTACATTAAGATATTTTTTTGGGGAGGGGGGGCGGTTTAACAATTTTAGTAAATTATCTGACCCTAAAATGTAAAGATAACTAGTATTCTGAAGCAGTTGTTCTCCATACATTTTCTGACCCTAATAATACTAGAAGAAAAAACAATGTGAGATTGTATACCCTCTCCTTGCACTGCATATTGTCGTTTAGCACATGAGAAAGAACACTAGCAGCTCTGGAACAAGTCTGCACTTCAGAACATTCTCTGGATGAATCTCACAGACAAAGCACCAAGAAAAAAAAATAACACAAAAAAAAAAGCCTTGTTCTGTACGGTCAAGATAAATACTTACGAGCCAAAAGGCATATGGTGTCATGACCCAAAAACTTGAGTAAAACAAGGGAAAAAAAAGGCCTAAGGATCAGCGGCGGAGGTATGAAGCGACGGGTTGCAAATACGAAGAGCCAACCGAGCTAATTTCGACGGGTTGCAAATACGAAGAGCCAACCGAGCTACTTTCGATGAAGAGGATGTCAGCCGAGGAATATAACCGGGCAAGTTCGCAGACAATTATGTTAACTAGCCCGATCGAGGTTC